TATTACTCGTATTATCGCTTTCATAGCGTTGAGGATGGAATGATTGGTGATATTGGTAATTAAAAGCGGTAACACTAGTAACACTAGTAATTACCAGTAACACGAGTAACCCCAGTAACAAGAGTAACACTGGTAACATCGGTAACACGGGTAACAGAGGTAACACGGTAACACTGGTAACACTGATAAGGCGAGTAACATAGTAACTCGAAAGACAAGGGTAACACTGGTAATGTATGGTCAAAGCTTGACAGGACTGGGAGCTAGTTTGTTTGTCTTGGTGTTTGGGTAGATTTTGAGCAGAAAAATCCATTTTCAGAATTCTGACTGAGTGGGTGCGCTCATTTCAAGGCAAGGCAGTTAATACTGGCAATATTTTGCCATCAGTTAGCTTCCATTGACTCCTTCACTCCTTTAGTTAAGGGCTTTTCCTGATACTTGCCTTGTATTCATTATGGGAAGCCAAAATGGAGCACAGGGACTAAGTAAAGGCAGTGGATCGGCCAAATGGATCCCTGTCAAATTTTGGTAGTGTTGGGTAGTAGACCATTCACCTTTCAACTCAAGCGCTAAGTCTTAAAATCGGGCTTAAATTCCACCAATTAGGCCCACTCAGTGAATGGGTGGGGCTGGCGGAGTTTTAAAGCGCCATTACAGGGCCTAGCGCATGAATTGGAGGGTCGGGTTGGGGTTGGGGCTACGGTTTACTTGGGGGTATACTACCCCACAATACCAAAATTTGACAGGGGTCCATTTTGTCGATCCACTGCCTTTAACAAGGAAAACTCAAATTGAGTGGACAAATTATGTTTTGAATTACTAGAAGCAATCCTATGTTACTCACAATGGAAAGCAATCATTCGCTCCTCTTCAGTCCATGTGTGACTGCCGCGTACACGATCACGTCGTGAACTTCCGTCGTCATCTCGCCTGTCTTCTTTCGAAACAAGATGCCTGCAAAAACATGGCCAAATTAGAATTTATTACAAACGTAGGCCTTTCAAAATTCACCTGTATGAGTCCAAACCATTCATGAGCCCTTCCGCTCGTTGAGATTTCAGTGTGCACTCAAGTCGGATAGCTCTTGAGCGA